ACAGTACTATTTGAAAAACTATATATAGAAACAATATACTTTTCTCAAATTTTAACTTTAACACGTATTTGAAGTGGAATGTATATCACGATACTGTAAAGAAACGTTGAAGAAAAAAACCATCTCTACCAGGAACCGAAACCGTGACCCATTGGTTACAGACCGAAAGCTCTAACCTCTAAGCTACCGAGACAAAGTCTAATCACATTAATCTTTCTTTTTTATTTGATCAGTCCACAATCGAGCCGTATTTTTTTCAATGTTTTTTAAACAGTATCACGGCATACGTTTCACTTTATAAGGGTATTAAACTCAAAAATTGGAAAATTTTAATCATATCGAACAGAGTTGGGCAAGAACGAAATTTTTCAAGTACGAGTACCAATGCTTCGAGTACGAGTACCGAGCCTTCGAGTATGAGTCGAGTACGAGTCGAGTACCGAGCCTATGTAGAAACATACCGAGCGAAATGTTAAAACATTTTTTTATTTATTGTATTATCAACCTTCAAGTAGATGGAATCGAAGTAAAACTTTATTACATTTTAGAAAAGTTAGTAGACACACATTCTTTGCCGTTAATGATGCTCGATGTGGTCTCATCAGAAATATATGAGAATTTCAGTGATTCTCATGGACGAAATAAAGAGAAAAAAAAAGATTGACCCAGATATATACAAGATGAGTAAAATGGACAAACATAAAAAAGAAGAAACAGAAAGGAAAGAGAAAGAAAGCCATACACATAACACGCACACAACGCATGTACGTACCCTAGACCTATTATTTTTATAAATACTTATCGGACCCTTATACGACTCTTATTAAGTCCGTATATAAGTGTTCGACCACGGTTGTGGTAATTATTCTGGACACCTACTGACCACCTCGAGTACAAGTACGAGTATCGGACCCTCGAGTACGAGTACCAACTCTTCAAGTACAAGTACGAGTATCGGACCCTCGAGTACGAGTACCAACTCTTCAAGTACAAGTACGAGTACTTCGAGTATTTTGCCCAGCTCCGATATCGAAACTCATTATTTTCCGTTACTTCTGTCTTCTAATAGGGAAGACTGTATGAGCTCGAACCAAGAAATGCTTGACTGACAAAAGCAAAAGATGGAGACATAGCAGGTCATCCAAAAATTACTGAGAAAGTGAGATACCCAGATCAATAAATCCTATGTAGGATCCTACATGATCTTATGGAATTCTGCAGATGATAGGATATCATAAGATTCCTATAGGAACCTTATGAATTCCTTATGAACTCCTATCATAAGATCTTATCTAGATCATCCTACATAGGATCCTATAAGATCTTATGTAGGCTCTGACTGGATCCTACGAAAGAAAAGTGTAGGACAAAGCAGTCTTATGTCTTTCCTACAAGATCCTACGTGCATTTGAACTCAAAGAGAAGAAGAAAAACATTTCTCTTGTTCTCGTTCCTGTCGTTCATAATTTCCACGTCCTAGATTCCGTCCGTTTTCTATTTATTCGTTTCTAGCAGATCAGAAATTGTGAAGCACAAGAACGAGAACAAGAGAAATGTTTTTCTTTTTCTCTTTGAGTTTCCTCTCAAGAAAGAAAATCTACACTATCCACTTTTGGTCATGAGAGTAGAGAAAAGAAAGGAACATAATACATATATTATTTAGATTCCGTCCATTTTCTATTTATTCGTTCCTACAGTGCTAGTAGATCAGAAAAAGGAGAAAATGGAAAATGAAAAGAACATCGTAAACGTCCTTCGTCCGTTATCATCCTTTTTTCCTTTATGTCTTTCTGTTTCTCGTCGTTAATTGCTGTAATTGAACACGGGAAACCAACACAGAAAAACGAAATTTCACGACAATAAACAGTTGTTTTATCTCTCCATAGACGTATAGCTAGATATATCCCGATAATGAATAGTGTGGTTTGGTTTCTGCTATGGGCAAACAAGTACGTAAATGATGAAATAGATCATGTTTTAAAGGAATAGAATTAGTTTCATTGCATAGTCCCAGTGAACCTATTCTAAAACTACTTTTTGCTTTCTTTGATACGCAGGTCAAACAATCCTACCAATTGCACGTAGGATCTTGTAGGTAAGACGTAAGACTGCTTTGTCCTGCACTTTTCTGTATTACATGTTAATGGATCGACACCATATAAAATAACAACAGTACGGTCTATATCTTGATTATAACAAAGGGAATTGACATTAGATTAGCAACGAAACATAGGAAAACCCAGATGTTTGATCTGTAATCACCTCAACAATGAGTCGACAATTTTCTACAATTTGGTTTCATTGAAAGTAATATCTTAAATAATATGTGCTTAATTTGGTTGTGATAATAAATGCGATAAACACCGGTATTGAAATAAAGACATCATATATACTCCATAGTAACCGTAGAAGCCGTACAATCACAAATGGTTTCATTACTGTAAGCGTCATTACTAAAAGCTTAAAGCTTTTTAAATACGAAGAAATAATTATTGTTTGGTTTCTTACCCATTTAAATACGCTGCATAACGATCAACTAACTCAACACCTGAATTCCACGATAAAAGTTCATCTATTTCGATTTGGCGTATTTTTAATGTTTGAAAACCAAATTTGTGACCATCATTTAAACATTCAATATTATCAGATGAAGTTATTCGATTTAAATCCATAGATTTATTTGATCTTACACAATATTTTAGTGATTCTATACTTTCCGTTCGATTTATAGAATAGACAATCAAAATATTCACGTTCTAAATCATCTTCCCTAGTCAAAATCCTATGCACTTCTCATTTGTTTCCTACCAGGATCCTATAGGATCCTGTCATGATCTGTGTAGGATCCTAATAATTTCCTGCCAAGATCTGAGATGTTAGACTTCTGCCAGGATTTTGTTTCTTAATGAATAAGGATAGTTAATCTCAGGTTGAAGTAATAAATGTATACACGCCATTTTTAAATGTGCTTTAGATTGACTTGTGCTGTTGTTGTCATTATGGTTGCAGTTGCTATAACATCCAAGAAATGAAGCAAGGAAGAAGTCTTACCCGGTTTTTAAGTTTAATTAATTTAGCGTACTTGTTGCGGTTGATCAAAAGTTTCCTGAAAGTACTGATCTGCGTTTGACATCCTACCCATATCTAGCATACTTATGCATCTATAGTGGAATGGCAGACTCTTTTTTCGAAATTAAGAAGAGCGTGGAATACAGCACATATTACTGAATTTAAAGAGATCTAAATCCTCATAAACTTTTTATATTGTTTGTTGTCATGTCAGCTACGCATTCCACTTTGACGACCCATGAACAAAGAACTACTGTCAGGATAGTGAAGTGACTGATTGACTGAATAAGATGGTGCAAATCACTAGGCCTCTAGCATTCAGATAGAGATATCTCTGTTGACATTTGCTTGAAGCAATCCTATGAAATTCCTGTTCTAGAATTATATTTCCTACTAAAATCCTAAATAACTCCTGCTGCATTATGATTCAGTCATCGCACTTTCCTGCTAGGATCCTGACAAATCCTACGACTTTCCGGTATATCTGATTTCTTTAGGATTCTCTAAGATTTTCCTAGGATCCTACCAAAAAGCTAGCTAAATCTTGACAGGATCCTGGCCGATTTCTCAAGGCTTCTGTCAAGAAATGTATAGGTTTTTTACTAGGGTTCTGTATCAAACAATAATATTGATCCTAAACTTTGTTGAATGAAATACAAGAAAAGTACCGAAAGAACAAATACTGTTTTCATATCTGAAATGTAAGGTCATTTATTTTTAGAAAGATAAAGTTTTAATATGTGTTTAAACGATGTTGCCCTTTTTAGTTAAAATTTACCTTCAATCTAAATAAATTATTGCTCATTCAGTAAAATAATTGTTCAGTCAATATATTTATCGCCCAGTCGGTAAAATTATTGCTAAAATTTATTATTACTTATTCAGGTTATTTTATTGCTCATTTAAATAAAAGTCATATCTTTCTCAATCAATGCGTTGTTTCAATTTTCCCACATCGTTTGTTATGATTGTTCTATTATCACATCAACGAAATTGCAAACAAAGTCTCTAAAAAATATCCGTAGCTTAGGGAGCATGTCAAAATGTATTCCGGTCGGTCGCTATTCCTCTGTTCCGCCGCTATTGCTCTATTCCGCACACAACATTTCGTTTTATAATAACTTTTATATACATGTATATAGGAACTTCGTTTTCTTTTCTAATTTAATCTGATTAGATTAGTTTGATTATTTCTTCAAAGACAACTGACCACTATGTTTCACTTACATCATTATAGGAGCAGGCATTTTTCTACACTAATTAAAGAAGATCCATTCTTCTTTTTTATACTAGTTTCAAGTGCACGAGTTGTACACGATGCTGATCTATTTTTTAGAAAAGGACCCTTTTTAGTTTTTGAGAAATATGGGTGTGAATATCGTTGATTATCGTTTGAAAAAGCACGTTTTTCCTTACGCGACTTGCAGAGAGTTCTTTTGCCTCTCTCGAAACTTGCTTGCTCAGACGATAACCCACGATATTCACAGCCATATTTCT